TTATCAAATATATCTCCCAATACATGTGATATATTATAATAAATATGGTATTTGTAATGCTGAATTTATTTGTCCTTGACTTAATCAACAAAATAATTTACAGAATTAGGATTTCTTAAAACTATAAGTTTTTGAATGTCTACACCTTTCTTTTCATAAACCAATTAGAGGTACATGTAGACATTCTAGAAATGATGAAAGCACAAAAATTGCAGCTATGGAACTCTCTTGCTTCTTCAGAAATACTGATCTCACCTGGCACAAACTCACTGAAGTTACTTCATTGTGTTATATCTGCAGATGCAAAGGTTGTGACCCTTCTATTCACTTATATTATAGTGTTTAATATCTAAGATGAAAGAAATATGCTATATTTGTGATAGATAAATTTATTAAGAGTTGATGGAATTTAATTTTATTAGCCTTTAAATATTACTCTTCCTCCTAAATGCAAATTTTTATGAAAATAACAAACCTAAGGAAAAACTCTTTCTGCTTTTTCAGGAGAAGAAAAATGTAAAATGTCCCTGAACTACCATTACACTTATCTGTTTCATTCAGAGAATGGCGTCCACAAATACTTCCCTATTGACATTATGGTAGTAAGCTGGTTGGTCATCTCAAAAAAGCCATCAAGATGGAAAACAAATTGATTATGCTGACTCAAACTACTAAGTTCAAAAAACTTCAGAAATAGTTTTTATTTTATACTTTATTATTGTTGACTCACTTTAGTTACTAAAAGCAATGACTAACAAAAGGAACAACAATAAGTTTCAACTTTCAAGTAAGAAACCCTTCTACCTATGAAGCCCATAAAAGCAGTTATTATATTCAAATAAAAATATATTTAGTAAGCACAATATTGGTCAAAGAAGATACTTCTCACTTATTTACAAGAACCTTTATGAAAACTCTCACAAAGAGCGGTCAGGGTAGCATCTGAATTATTTCTTCAGAATAAAGAGCTTCGCCAAGAGATAGGACATCTGGCCAACTTGTTACATCCATATCATATCAATTTTTTTTAGGGCTTGAAATTAATTTATTGAAATTTTTCATGAAATTCGACCAAATTTGTATAAAATTGCAAATCAAATAGAACAGATAATTCCATGTATGATCAAATTAAAGATTGGTGGTCAATTAAATCATGCTGATATGACTATAAAGAGAGATTGTATAATGAAAATTGGATATTGTTGTCAAATACTCCAGTATATTTATAATTAAAATATTTATTTATTTTGGTCAGACTTTAGACAAGGCACTTGCTAATATTATTAATAATATGCATATTAATCAAGATAATAACTTCATACTGAGGGAATGGTATGAATTATGAAAATTATGGAAAGATTTTCAAGTTCTTGAAAGGAATTATATGTTAGATTTAAAAGATTATCTGTGATAATTCTTCTTGTAAGTTCATTTACTAGAAGCCCATATGTTCATTACCAATGGTGATTGTTCAAAGTTCATAAGTTGATTTCCACTAATAATGATGCAAATGGAAAATTAAACTTATTATAATGCTAAGTGATGTGTTACCTTGTAAAAAAGTTTATAAAACTATACTGGAATATTACTTGATAATTATTAATTGTAAGAATATTCTGAATTGAGATAATAAAGATTGGAAAATTAGTGAATATAACTAGCAGAAAATAAAAATTATTATGTTATTATACAAAAGTCTGGATAATTTTGTATTGAAAAAAAATAGGTAATATATAGATAATATAGAAAGACCAACCAAAAAGGTAGCAAATAGAGCTACCTGGATCATTTCTATATCAATAATTTACAATTGAGTATAAAAAATAAAGAAGTACTAGAACATTCAATCACTAAACAATTGAAATCAGAGAACTCAAATATATACATATGGAGTTTCTGATAAAATAAAAGAAAAATCCTGCAGAATGGAATTGATGAAATAATGTGAAATACTATTCATACAATCCATTATATGTATGGATAATATGTTCATCTTACTGAATGATCTGAAAAAAGAATAAAATTGAATGATCTTTGCCAGTAAACTAACATTAAAAAAGTGCATACACATCTTGGAATAATTGAGCAAAAGTAATGGGAAAATAGAGAATAGATAATGCCTAACATTGTTTTCCCATTACTAAATTTGAAAATACAAATAAACAGTTTGTATTAGTGACCAGAAGTAGCAGCTATAAAAGTAGAGTTAGAATCAACATATACTACTAGATCTATAGCCATTAGTTTAATAAAGAGAATCTTGAAAAATATTTATTCATTGATAACATAAGTTCTACTATTAAAATTATACACACACACACATATTTTACAAACAAATATTATTATAATAAATATAATAATATTTTATTTTTATTTTTATATTTCTGAGTAAAAATGGTGTCAGTAATGACTACATGAAAACTGTACCATAGGAGCATTTAACTTAGAAGAATATAATGCTTATCATCAGCATATAATAGCTTGAAGAATTTCTTTATTGAAAATTAATCAAATTATAGTACTATTACTTGGTTATAGACTCTGTTGATCTTCAATAGCTGTTGAATATTTATCTTCAGCACCACTTTTTTTCAGATCAAAATCAATTAAACCTGTTTATATGATATTATTAGATGATTGTGAAAATCCTTATTGGGATGATGCAATAGACAAATATCTCAAAAGACCTCAAGACATTGTTTTTAATGAAATAACATCCAAAATATCATCAACCAATATAAAATAGATTCTAAATTACCCAATTCAAACAGGCTATATTAGATAGATCTTAATGGATATGTAGTAGAAAGACAAAAGGATTTCATTATTACACTACAATTGAATCTGGAGAAGAATGCAGAATTATTGAACAATTATACTAAATACAAAGAACATTTTCAATCAAAATTCACCCAAGAATATCAGGAATTGGTAATTGATATAAGGCAAAAGTCAATTGTTCAATACAAATTGAAAATTATCATCAATTAATTCAAACAAATTACTGCAAATCTTAATTAAGCATCAGTTGGATTAATTAGTTCAACTCCTTTACAAAATCATAAAAATATTATAAAAGAATTATTGAGATTAAAAGAACTAAAAGAATTACTAATACCAAGTCAAAAGTTGGGGTTTATATAATAATTTCTCTGTTGATCCTTTGAACAACATAAATAATAATGACTTGTTATAACTATCTTATTAAAATGATTGTCATTTCCATACGATTGAATATCTATTTTAGAACGAATATGCAGGGTTTTATAGTTTTAGTTATTAAACTATGCTCTGTTTTCTATTTTTAATTTTTAGGAAGGATAGTAGTTGACTGGTGGTCAGTGGTTAAAAGGAGATTAAATAAAAAATTAATTTTATCCTAGGAGTCAGGTTTTTAGAGCGAGGTTGATAAAATGTCTTTAAGTGTATATTACTATAGTAGATCTCAAATCCAGGTTAAAACTTATATAGAAACTAGTTGGTTAGTATTCATTAGTTTAGAATCAGGTACCTGCAGCTATTATTATAAAATTTTGTATATTTGTATTGTTCGTTACAAATTTAATTGCTAATAAAAAATTAAAAAAATTAAAAATTATAACCCGCCCTGAAAAAATAAACCAACATTCTTAAGTTTTTTAAAAAGTAGATTTGATCGATTTTTACAAATCCATTCAGGGCTTAAAATATTTTTTTTTCTTTATTAAAAAATATCTTTTTTTAGAACATAATTTTTTTTATATATAAATTTTTAAATCCCCCACCAGAATAATATAATTTTATTCTTGTTCTTGATAGAAAGGCTAAAACTTTTTTTATATTTTTGGCGGAAAGGCCAAAAGGTACCATTAATAGGACCCCGAGCAATATATATATAGGTAACAAGAAAGGTCAAAATTTTTATAATAGCTCTACGCAAGGTTTTTATTAATACAAATAAGCAAAATAAACATGTGACTTCACGAATTGCCTAAAAATAAGCAATCCAATCATATGACTTATAAAAAATTTTTTTAGTACGAAAATCATATGATGATCATTTCCAATTGCCATTTTATTGTTTTTTCGTGATAACAATTTAATATTTCTTCATTTTTTCAATAATATCATCCCGACCAAAATATTCATCATAATATTTCTTTTCGTCCCCTACTAACTTTAGCATATTACTATCAATTAAAACTTTTGTTTCTGAAATATGATAAACTATGTTTGATGGTATATGATGCGTTAAAATATTACACCCTTCTTTAACTAAATCACTAAAAACATTAAAATGAATGGGAATATATACATGTAATGAAATATAGGAAATATCATTAATAGTTTCAACTGGTTCATCTGTATAACAATGCTTTCCATATGCTTCAAAATAAACTGATATAACACGCCCTATGCACATTTTATCACCATATCTTACAAACACATAATGT